CAGATACAGAGTTTTAAGTATCGCTTCAGTTGTTCGAGTATATTTGAAGTCAAATTTCATTCAACTCTTAAATGATAATATTGTTGTGTAAGAGCACAACATTTGCAAGGTAAATCGTTTGTATTTCTTAAACTCTGTTATCTTCCTAATCGTTCATGTATATATTCGGAGTCTATAATGTGAATCAATTTGCAGGAGTTTGTCGTCCTGACTGCCCCTCACGTTCGTTGGCACACGCCTTCTACATGGGAGCGACCACCAAACACTCACTTCCTGTCGAGGTTTGTAACACTTGATCTTAACATTATAAAATTTAATAACGTTAACAATATAAAATTTTAAAGATTAACAATATTGCAAGAAATCACCAAGCTAAATTTTACTATTTTCTCTGTTATATATGGTTTTATTGCAACTAAACTCTTAAATTTTAGTATTCCAGTCAACTTTTTGAAGCAATCGTCAAGTTATATCAATTTACTTAACATCCAAACAAGAAAGGAGCTGGATGGACTCTGGTCAAAGTGTCCGAAGTCAGTTGACCGAATCCGGGACGTATCCCGCTCCCGCTCCCGTCCCCGTCTCGTATCGGGACGGGGATGGCACCAAAATCGAAGAGTCCGTGCAACTTAGACGATCACTCAATTTGGCTCAAGATTTATTTACATTCAAAGAGAAGAAACACAAAAGACCACGCAGGATATACTGTAAGTTCTCATATTTATAAATGTGGACCACGCAGGATATACTGTACGTGCTCATATTTATAAATGTTTCATGAGTGAATTTTACAAAAACATTAATATCAGAATAAAAAATTACACTAGGGCATAATAAGCCTATCCCCGTCAACTAATTTTGTACAGAAGATAAAAAGGGACAAGGAAAACTTCGAATGGTTTACGAACCTCAAGAAATCTCGGGAGAGAGCATCGCCGCGGCCGACCGGAAAAACTCAGCAAAAACAATTTGGACCATTTCTCGATTTGTGCGTGTCATCCTTGCGCAGGGGCCATGCTAATTTTATCGGACTCCCATGTTGAGCTAGGGTTTTTATTGTGCCGTAAAGCTCCTTCTCTGTTCGATGAGGGAGAAAGAACTTACAAGTGTAAAATACCGTTTCGAGTCCTAAAGTTCAGGAACTGAACACTATCGTCCTATTTTAAGAACATTTATTTCAAAATCACCCCTTATGTATTTATTCACTTGATAACGTTCTCTCTGCACTTCTGAAGATGTCAAAATTACCCTCTTTTTCCTACTATTCTTTAACCCAAGATGTTGAACAACACAAGACGATGCTATGGTACAGTGACAGTTGGTCCAGAGGGACTTTCATGTCAAAATGGAAATGTAGTGTAGACATGCCAAAGGCATTAGAGATACCTTAAGATTTAGGCAGTACCAGTTGCTTATAGCTCAAGGGCAAACACAGAACCAGAAGGCTGACCGAAAAATGTTTGCAAATAAAGTATAAAGTCTCCAGCCAATACAAGCTTTCTGAGATCAACATTTGTCTTCACTCCTAGTCCAATAAGCATTGAAGCAACATCCTCAGTAGTCACACTTCCAGAGGCACCTGAGCATATGGACAACCTCCAGGTCCAGAGGAATCCACTGTGAATTGCCAAGAAAAACAATCGACAAATATATTGTACCATATCATTTAAGTCTTAAAGCAAACATATTGCATAAATTCCACATTAACAATTCAATTAGGTGTTTTGCAAAACCTGAGATTGAAATAAAAAGTTACCTACTCTGATTCACCTCACGTGGTAAATAGATAATTTGAGAATTAGGAGAATCACAGTTAAACCACCTCTCTCTCAGATCAAATCATTAAGGAAGGAAGTTAGGGGATTGCGAGGCAAAGGTAAATAGAACCTAATCCATTTTGTTTGACCCGTGCCATATGATATTAGCCATTTAGACATTCTGATGTTAACACATACATGAAAAAAGATAAACGCAAGATGTGCAAGGATAAAATTATCTTACCGCATTACAAATGCCTTCAAGGAGAACTCGATAAACAGCATATGGTTGATTACGCTATTCGGACACACAAAAGTCATACCAATTTTCAACATACAAAACTAGTGGCTTAGACCACAGGCTGCATTGCGGAGACAAGCAATTTTATAAGTTAGTTTTTAAAAAAAAAAATAAGTTCAGTATTCACTTAAGCAGGTAAAATTGTCTTCTCGTTTTCCAGTCCATCTGTTGAACCAACTTCCACTATCTTCTGGGAATCAGGGATAGATCCCACAAAATGCATAATTATGTATAAGCTGCCACAATGCTAGGAGAAAAACTTCTTTTGTAACTTAAATCGCGAGGACTTCAGAAAAGGATCATATCTCTACATTTCGTACAACTTAATTGAAAAGAATCATTCCTTCGATTGAAGTCCCTTTCTTTCATCTTTGCCATAGGAAGGCTTCTCGCTGCAAGGAAGTACTTCACTGTTGGTATACTATGTGCTCATGCCTATTTGTTAATTCTGTTATGATGTAATATATCTTTGACTAATTATCATAGGTTATAAAAAAGATACCAAAACAATGTATGATGCAGTATCAGAATCCCATCGACATTAACAATCCCTAACTGCCTATGGAGTGGGAATATACCTTAGGTGCTCATATTCCTAAATGCTTGAGATTTCACGAGTGAATTTCACAAAAATTACAGTAATAAGCCTATCGCCATTTGGGGAAACATGAAATTAAACAGAATGATATAAAATCCGAACAGTTTACGGACCTTAAGAAACCTCGTAAGAGTGCATCACCGCCGACGACGACCGGCAAAAATAAGTGAGGAAAAAATTTCAGCCGGAGAATCGCCGCCGGCAAGGCAAAAAAAAATTTGGACCATTTCTCGATTTGTGCGTGTCATCCTTGCGCAGGGGCCATGCTAATCTTCTCTGTATCGTTCCAATTTTATCGGATGTCCCCGAAGGGACGAACACCATTGTTGAGCTTCCACGATATCAAGTCTGAAGAGCTTCAGTTTGTGATCGGTGTGGGATATCTCGTTGGAATAGAACCAGAAAAGGTCTTGTGTTTACTCGTTTAGTTGAGCCCTTTCCTAAAAGCCCATAACGAAATGGGCTGCTTGTGGGCTATACTATAATAGAATAATCTTTTCTCTTGGCATTTTAGAGAAAATTGACTATTTTTGAGTCATGAAAAATAGATTTATTGATACTATCTCTATTTATTATAAAAGTCGAGACACATTTTTCAAGTATGACGTAATTTCTTATGTGATTTTTACCAAATTTATATTCTTTTGACCCAGGTCTGTTCGAATCCTCTAATATTTATATGAAGTATTATGATTAGTCTATTGACAGTAACTCAGTTTTTGTTCTGCATCCACAACTTCCTTTTGTATTACAAAACCAATTCTTTACCCTTCACGGCAAAATTAAATAAAAATATCAGTTTAATCATATCATAGTTAGCTCTCTTTTTTTGTGTCATGATTTAGACATTTAGTTGCTATAGTTCTGTTGGTTCAACTGTCTATTAAGCAAACATCAGATATAATTTATTATTTCAACCTTGTTAGGACTCCTCGCAACAATAAACAATGACGATGTTTCGCCGGATGAGCAAATTTTGCATGTGTTCAATTATTCACAAGTTTTACCGAACGATCAAATCTTAGTGCCATTTTCGTTCTATCTATCTTGTTAAATTATTCAAAAATTGTGTAGGATGGGGCAATCTTAAAGTTAATTGTTCACAAATTTTGCCATACGTCCAAAACTTGATATTGTCTATTCTACCTATCTTGTTTACAACATTGAGTCAAAACTTGCATATGGTATTCAATTGTTCACAAGTTTCATCAGACCTCATTCACATTTTTTTCCAAGCATATTTGCAACTCTTTTACCTGGTATATTTGTAACTCTTTTATCGGGTAGTTTGTGTTACTTCTCTTCCAATTTCTTCAATTCAAACCAGTGTTGGAATTGTATGAAATCTTTTGCCATCAAATAACGTGAATGGAACATGAAAAGCCAAGTACTCAGACTAACAAATTGAACAACTTCGTCCAAGTTAGGTTACAATATAGGACGACTACCGTATTCTAGTTAAGAAATTTAAAATCAACCAAGAAGCCTGAACGAGGAGGAGGAGAGATTACAAGCGTGAAGATGGAAACGAGTCTACTGCTGGGTTATATTTCATTGTTTTTAAGAACGGGGGTAAAATATGAAAAGCAGCGTAAAAATGCATGTCTCCTGATCCTGCTCCTGCTTGGTTGATATTTTACATGGTCTGATTTGTAACTTCTTAACCTTACCAAAAAAAAAGTAACTTTTACGTCATTCAACTAATAATACAATTTCATGATGAAGCTACACAAACACTTGGCATCGGGGTAGCCAAAATCCATTTTGGGATAAAATATTTGAGAATCCATGAAAAAGAGAAGACTGGCATTAATTGTTTACTTTAAACGTCTCAAACCAGAGCATAAAATTTCTTTAGGCAAGAATATCTTCAAACTGTAACAAGATCTCAAGCTACAGTTCATTTTACAAATTGAATAATACATAAAATTGATGGAAGCAGATCAATTTTTCCTTAACATCTTAATACTCTATCTTTTTACCTTCAGATCCTGTATGATAATACTTTTACGTACAACAGAACAAATTCAATTTTCTCTATAACTAAAGGGATGAGAAAATTGGGACACCTGGTAAAGTAGCTCCAGCTTCTACTATGAAAATGTTTCCTGAAACATATTCTGAAGAATCGTGGATTAAATAACGCACCACTGAAGTCAAAGCCGGATCTGATGTTCCATGTGTTCTCAAGGGAATGGTTCTCAATGCAATATTGTGGAGCCAGTCTTTTTGCATGAGGCCCTCTGTTATCTCAGATCTGAAAAGTCCTGGTGATATTGAGTTCACTCTGATCTTGTATGGTCCCAATTCAATTGCCATCATCTGCCATATTGCAAATCAGGAAAAGAAAAAAACATACAAAAGTCTCACTAGTATGCAAACACTCTACGCTTGACCTGCAACAGACTGCAGGCAGGAAATTTTCACAAAGAAAAGTTGAACTGGATGAGACCTTGTCGGACTTGATTAGATAACAAGAATGACTTTAGATTACATTGGAAAAGTGGACCATCTAGGACTCTAGGTAGATTGTGTTGTTAACCACTAAAAACCATCAAGTATAAGCCAGAACGCCACAAGTATTATCTATGAAGTATACAATGCCCTCTGTAAAAGAATCAAACCAAATGCTTGATCTGCGTGAGACATCACATATACTTTTAAGATGATAGTGAAACTTTTATATCTGACACAATTGGAAATAGAATCTGCTTAGATTTCTCATTGTAGCTTAATGCCTGTTCTAGTTTTTTAATTTAATACCTCCATATTAACCATGATCAATTTCACATTTCTGGCTCCAGCATATGTTCACCAGAGAGTGGTGTGGCAACTATCCTAGAGTAACTCTTCCTAAGTGCTAATGCACTATATATATATATATATATATATATATATATATATA